CCCCAAAACCCCAAAACCCCAAAACCCCAAAACCCCTCTTTATAAAATCGTGATAATTTAAGAATTATTTCGAATTTTGATTAAATGATGTGTTTTGAATAGCAACACTAAACTAATGTGTAAACTATCGCAAATTAAAAATTAATCATTTTTTAAGAATCAAAAAGATAGCTTGATCTGTGAAAAACTCAGGATATGATTTCTCTAAATTCTTCAATCCATAAATTTTATCACAGTAATTCTTGAACTCATCCCTAATAGCAATTGCAAATTGTCTGAACTTTGTTCGATCTTCACCGATGAAATATTATGCCTTGTAGTAGCTTACTAATTTTTTTGCAAAAATCAATTTACTGTGTGGGTCCTTCTTGCTTCCTTTCTATGGTGAATCTGCTCTGATATTAAGGTTTGAAGAACGCAATGTAGAATTCATAGTTACCCCTAATTATGACCCAGTTGAGGTTTAATTAGTATCAATTAAATGCTCAAAGTACGACTTCATATACTTTAAACTCATTAATCCTAGTGTTTTTGCCATATCCATAATGTCATTTGAGCATAACTAAGCTGAATGTAGAATAAGCTAGGACATCATAATTAGATACTCAAACATTAGCTTTTCATCTTATTTCTATAACTTATGCAATGGGAAGTTATTTAGTACCATCTTTAATAAGATACATGCCTCTTCATAGGGATTTCTGAATTAGACATTAAATTTCAGTACATGCAAGATTTCTTTCTCTCTCTCTATTACATCGGATCTTTAATATTTTGAATGACCTGCATCTCTCAGAATTTAGCTCATATGTATAGGTATAACATCTTCGTATTTTGAACTTATAAATATTGAAACCAATCCGACTAAATGGAGTTCTTGTCTATCTAGAACTTTTTTAAGAAGCTTCATTCCATGGAAGTATCTATCCATTATAGTCACTGCTAGATTAAATGTAGTTTGACTGCTTAGTTTCAACACTCTGAATACCTGTATCATCCAATCTACCATCCTTGATCTATGCTCGTTCGATATGTGATGCCCATCAAGAAAGTTATCACCTTTTAAGCTTTTATCCATTGGAATTTGCAAATATTTTTTCATCTCAGAGGATAATTGATCTTCTTCATCATCGCTAAAACCGCTATTATTTAATAGATCATCTTCTAAACATGCTGGTCTGATTACATTAAGTAATACAGTTTATTCAAGACTTTATAGTGCAGTAAATTGTGAGGAAGCTTTTCTGTATGCAAAGCTAGACTTTTTTCTGCTGCTTGAAGCATTTCTTATTTCAGGAAGTGCTTTTCTCAAATCAGCACTAGCATGCTTTACAGGTTGTCTGCCATTTTCGTATTAATTATTTTTTGTTTCTTCTTTATATACTTAGTGCTTAATTTTCTACTTTTTCTTTTAAAAAGATGAGTTCTTTTGTTCTATCACAGGAAGGAACTGAGTACTTTTAGAAGTAGTAGGCAGATTTTTAATTTTAGCCAAGGAAATAGCAATTTTCTGTGAATCAAATTGAAAACTTGGGCTGTGAGTATTATCGTCACTTTCATGAGAAAATCTTTTCATCATCTACATTCCTCCTTCTCTAGGATTTCGCTTATTGAAAAAGTTCATTTACTGTTGAAGTGCAACTGAGCTATAATTCTTTTTTTGAACTATGCTAGGCTTGTTAGGAGACTTCTCATCTTCTGTATCCTATATGCGAATTTCTCTTGATTTACCTCTCATTCTAAATATTATTGATTGAGAATAAATTATTCACACATAGATTAATCAGATTTTTTAAAAAAATAAACACACTCTAGCATAACTGATTACTTTACGCGTGGGGTTTTGGGGTTTTGGGG